GACGTATTTTCGAAGAGTTCTGCGAAAGTTGCATTCCCAGGGGATTTTCTTCTACTGAACCGAGAGGTACTTGAGTCATGCAAGTACTCAATGTGAATTCTCATTCAGTAGAGGAAATAAAACCCTGAGGGTCCTTTACGTGGGGTGATTGTACTCGGTAGAGTACTGCTAGTATCATACCTCTTGGGAACCATCTATGGAGTTCTCGAGTCCATATTCGATTTCATCCGATAATCAAAGCTCATTCAGACCCTGGAATAGGGAGGAGGTACTATTGAATATAATGCCCTAACGTTGAAAATTCAACTTTGACACAATGTCGCACAGCATCAACTTTTCTACGTTGAACTGTGTTTCATTTCAACATTGTGGCAACATCATGGCAACATGTTACGTTGAATAGTCAACCTTTTCTTAACATTGAGGCAACATTGCCATCAACCTTTTTTCAACGTTGGCACAACGTTGTTGTGCCGAATGGGTACCTATGACCGACTTTTTTTTATTAAAGACCCTGAAGTAGCCATTTTTTTTACTTTTATTGACTGACAACGTACCGACCTCGGAATAGTATCAGATCTTTTCTCCTTCCATTTTGGCGCGACCAATAATTAATTTCCCACATCTGGTGTTTCATTCTTTTTTTATTTGAATGGAGAAGAAATTCAGACAAAGTATCCGGGCAGATTTTGCCGTTCGACCCTATTGCAAAAACGTCTTGCAGTTATCACGGTATTGATTGAATATTAGAGAGTTTTATGAATTCCAAATCATAAAAATTAAGACTTTACTCGACAAATTGGCTCAATGTGTCGACCGCCGATATCCATAAATTTCTGAGCCCATAGTTGGCTCCATCCATGAGAATTCCATCACTTTTCTGGCACATGACACTTGAGATATTCACATCAAGTTGTTTAGATCTGTGGGCTTTTCCTTGTAAACAATGCCTTTTAAGGGTAAGCTCTACCCTTAATTTCCAACCTGAAAATTTTAAAGCGCTCACTTGCAGAAGTACTCCCTCTCACCCCTATAAACAATATATCAATGAATTACGGACTTGAAGCTCCTTCCATTGAGTGAGGTACCAAGTTCATTATCAAGTACTAGTCAGTACTTAATATCTGTATCTCAAAAACGGCAAAATCGACCGCAAAACAACGAAACCAACCCAAAGAGATTTTTATCACGAGCCAATACACCAAGTGCCTCTTCCCAAATTGGGCGCGTTTTCATGCAAATCGAGCAAAACTTTTGCGCCATAGAGTCCCATTATAACGGTCTGGTTACATTCTCTAAAGCCAGGTGGCGAACATGTCCCAAGCAATCGAGGAATAGGCCTTCTAAATGAGACCCGACCCCGTCTTGTTCCCTATTAGCCGGTCACCCAGGATGGTTGTGACGAGAGCCTCCATGGATGTGAAGAGCAGAGGGTGAGCATTTCCCCTAGAGGAATTCACGTCTACGAGGTAGACAGGGGTGGAAGGGAAGAAGAAACGCGAAGAAACCAGGCAGTGAAGGCGTTTTCCTTCCATGGCATGGAAATGACTTCATTCGAAAATGACTTCTGTATTCAATGACCTGTCCATGTAAACGGCTGGGTGTGCTCCGCGGCATATAATCGGGAGTGTAAACTCTCTAGTGCATCATGTATAGTTTGTTCAAGAATGTTCCTGCGATATCGTGTCAAAGACACATCTCGGCCTGCAACACAGTGGCAATGGGAGCTGATAGAGAACCTAAGCTATCTCTTGACCTCAGGTTTGAAGAGAGAGAAGATAATTCAATGGGACGGGTATCGGGGAATCATTTGTCGGTGAGCCATACAGCTTTCCACATGAAAACAGCTCTGTTTTTCTGGCCCAATCATGGCCCTCATTTCATCAAGAAAGCTTCAAAAGGTTTCTATAGTGAGACCACCATTCATCATCTTCAAATGTACTGAAGTCCATGCGTGGGAGAAATCACAGCAATTAGAGTCATGTTCCCTTTGAGTATCAACCCAGTCCGGTCTCTTCGATAGATGAGACTTCTCTTCGATGAGAAAGCCTAACTGCAAACATATTTCAGCGTGGAAATTGAAGCAGAAACCCTCGTATCAGGAATTGAATAATTGCATGCTTTGTTTTTGGTTCATAGGTTCATGTTAGTCGTTGTACTGAAAGAGACGCCAAAATCTCTTCTGTAGATGGGTGGATATCTGACTATTGATAGATCCTGTTCGCATCCAAACAAAAATGTTCTGACGCTCGTGGGGAAGTTTCACTCCGTGTCCCTCTCCATCCTATGAGCCATCTTCGAGGTAGTATTCATCTCCTTCTTAGAGGATGTACTTTTATGTATGTTATACCGAAAACTTGCTTTCACACCATCACAGACAGGTCAAAGAAGAGAGGTCATCCTGAATAAAATAGTTCTTTCCATGGGGAAAAAGGAACTGGGAAAGAATTTGTCCTTTACTGTCTGGTTTCTCATTGCTTCCCCTCCACTGTCTGGATATGAATTCCTCTCGGGGGAATACGGACCCTCGCCTCATCATGAAAGAGGTTCTCCCTTCCCAGCACTCGCGTTCAGAATCAAAGGGGTTGGAAAATGTCATCCGTGAAGACGTACTGGGTAACGAGTGATGCGATCCATTTATTCTAAGTTTATTCCTATCGCCTAAATGTAGAATTCTCGCCCCCCATGACTTCCCCTTGACCTTGAGAATTCCCTCGTTCGCTTTCCTGTCCCCGGGCGAAACTGCTAGACCTCATCGATGAAATGGTGGAGTTGCAGAAAGTATCCTTCCTGGAGTGGAGATTATGTCTGGAGAGGAGGATGGTCGTATTCAGGGAGGAAACGAAGTCAAGGGAAGCTCGGAGTTTGAGTAATTGTTCAGAGGAAGAATTGAAGGAAGGGATCATGAGGCTGTTGCATTTTGGCCATGAGCGCGTTAGAATTCCTCTAATGATGGAGTCCCCCATATTCCCACCATATTCCCCGGCATAGAGTGATCTCAGTTCCTTACAATTAAATAAATTAGGGAACGGGAGCCTGCATCACCGTGCTCAAGGAACGCAATGTCGAGGAAAGATGGAGAGAAGATAATTTTAGGTTATTAGGAAATGGAAACGAGGTTTATGACCATCGCGGGCCTGTCACTTTCCATGACAGATCTGACATGGGGAGAAAAGCCTGCTACTACGATCTCAGAGAATGTTATCTGCCCTTTGATGCGGCTTATTTCATGTTATTTTAAGTCATCTTTCAAATCTCATTTGTACGCATCGAGGAGCATGTTTCAAGTAGGAGAACGGTGCAAGAGAATTAGAGTGATATGCACCAAATTAGTTTTTATATATATTTTTAATTCGGACGACGACATAATGTTTTGAAACGGTATGACCATGCTGATGTCTCGAGGCGATGAATGCAGAACGCGGAAAGTGAAGGGAGGTGTAAAAAAGAAGAGGGAAGTTCGTTCTCCTCGATCAGATAAGGGACCCGATGGAGGCAGATGGATTTTTAAGATGGATTTAAAGAAATGCTTCCCGTCGGAGTGAACCCTGAGGGGAAAGAGGGGCGGGGAGACGCTATGCGACATCTATGCAACATCTTCGCCCTAGCTCAATTTTCAGGAAGGATAGGTCCCCCCCTTAAGTAGCCACAGAGAAAAAAAAATCACAAGGGGTCAAAATCCAGAGATCGTGGAGGCCATTTGCCCTTGCTGACAATTCGGAATGTTACGCTCCATATGTCTGAGCCTGTAATTAAAACAAGGATTTGGTAAATTAATTTTCAGTGACAATATAGTGTAGAAACAAAAGATGCGATACCATTCCAAAGTCTAATGATATACAACCTACAGAAATTGAAAAGTTTGTTCCCCCAGATTCAGTCTGAAAAAAGCTGCCCATAGGTAGTCACTTTATGGACACTGTACTAAAATTGGTATTTTCAGTTTAATAAATATATCCAATTGCCGTTATTATTGGCCCAATATTAGGGTGCTACTGAAGTGGGAGTGAGCATTCCAATAAACGACATTGCAATGTTGGCCCAACATTCAACCAGTGTTGAATTTCAACGTTAATCTGAATGTTACGATAAGCGACATTGCAATAGTGACTTAATGTTACATGCAACGCCATCACAACAGCAGGAAGGTTCAAATGTAACGTTCATAAAACGCTGATTGAATGTTCGTTTGTTTGCTGGGTACGTTGTCAATGTCTAGAGTGTCAACGTTCTCTCAATATTGATAGCAAATGTTGCAATAACATTCGTAGAAGTGTCGCAGCAACATTCCAATAGCTCGAAAGTGAAGAATGTTGAACCAATGTTTTATCAATGTTGTACATCAACTTGCAACATAGAGCAATATAAGCAATATTTCGGAAACGTTTCAGCAAGATACTGTTAGTTGGGACGTTGCGGCAACATTGCCACGTATAAAACACGAACCTCGCTCGACGTCGGTACGACGTTGTTTTGCCGAATATCCCATTGGAGAAAGAGAACAGGGAATCTCTGAATTGCCTGAATAAATTCCTTCCATATCCTTGGTAAGTCAAAATTTACATTTAAAAAAAATCCTAGCGTAAAGTGATGATGGAAAATATTGGTGGAGGGGGGGGGGGGGGGATTCCGTCGGAACCAATCCCCTCTCCCAATTGTGTTTTACCCTCGCATTTTACCGCGCAGATTTGCTTGGGTCATCGGGCAAAACACGCCATGGTTGTGAAAGAGGTGAGCAATTTGCAACAAAAAAGACTTTGAGTCCTCCCAAGTTTCTTTTTAAAAAAATTGTTAAGAAGCCCGGCTTGGTGTTCATGATTAATAGTCATTAATAAGGCACAATCCATATGCATTCTGGAACGTCTCATGCAGTCAAATATAAAAAAGTTCCGATCGAGTGAACGGCGTAACAATTCCAAGCTCTCAAAGTTTAAGGGGTGATAATTTTGCTAGTTTTTATTATTAACCGACGATGAATAAAATATTTCTTGGGGATCCGATCTAATTAAAGTGCCCTATACACTGTACACGTTTCACTATGGCGTCTTCCAGAGGACCTAGCCCAACTATGAAATCGTGGGACGGTGAGTGTTCCTATAGAGTTTCTTTAACTCTTTCCCTTAGTGTTCTCTTTCTACCTAATTATTCTTAGACAGAGATTCCAAACCGAACATGAACTTCTCAGAGTTAAATTATTGGATGCCGTTGCAATTTAAGTTGATTTGTAGGCCTAAGCTAGTAATTGTTTGTTCTATATACCTACTCTGACTTTTTCATGTCTGCATCAATGTCTCATGCTGATTTCAATTAAGGGGGCCAGTCTCTCTGTTGTGGGACTTTGCTGGGGTGCATTCCAATCACAATTCTTTTGATTGCATTCATAAAGTATTCTCTACAAAATCAGGAAGCTCGCAGCCAATGAAGTAGGGTTTCGGGAGAGGACTCTTATCTTTGTGGATAACAGAAAAAAGATAGATTGAAGATCGCCACACTTACTTGGCTTGGATTTGCGCATCCATTCAGCAGACCATGCATAAACTTTAAATTGGAATTGATATTAAGTTGAACCATACTATATTCTGTTGTTTGTGAACAGCATGTGCCAGCGTCCATGTCTGTAAAAGTGTAGATCTTATACAGGGGAAATCAGAGGAATTCAAGGCTAAACCTTTGGGCATGTCCAGTTACTTGAGTTTCTGGCAGGATTGTAAACCTATCACACAGCCCTCTGACTAGAACCTGCTGAGAAGCCTTTCCTCCAAGACAAGTGGCTTATGGATGGATGCCAATAAATCAGGATTTGGAGAGTAGACATTTATAAACAACAGTATTAAAGATCATTGCAAAGTCAGAGGCAATATATGTTTTACAGACTGAATCTAGGGCATTGCTTTCTCATTCACATGGTGGCAAAGCTCAATTATGCTAGAGCACTCACAAAAGCCATGCTGTCAGCTTGTTGAGAGAATTTTCCTAACAAGGTGGTCACAAAGTGTAAATGGATAACATGATCAAGGATCTTGCACTACATAAATACTCAGGCTACTGGTCTGTATTTCCTTAGGTAAGACTGTTTTACTACTCCTGAGATGGAGGAATGAAATCAGGGGTCTATTTTCTGAATTGGGAATTTTCAAATCTTCATATCCCATTCAAGTTTAGGTCAAAATAGTATGAAAAGGGAAAATAAGGTCCATTGTCCTCTCTTCTTAGGCCAACTGAGAAAAGCAGAAATTGATGGATGAAGGCCCAATTTAAAATCCCAACTGGAATATTCCAGCTGGACCAAATCTGTAAATTCTGACCATTTCCAGCTGCCAAAGAGCTAGAAAATGGTGGGTACCAGTTGTTTCTTAGCTGAAATTTTCCAACTGGAATGCAGCTGGTTTTAATAGCTGTTTCCAGCTGGAAATTTCCCAGTTGGAATTTTATAAAGAGGACCCTACAACTGGCATGTAGCTAAATTTACAGTTGAAAATGAGCTGTTCCTGTAGATGGACCTCTGACAAAAGTAGTATAAAAAAAAAAGATTCTCATTCAGCTAGTGATATAGCAATTAGGAACAAATTTGGAGAAGTCTACTTTCCAGCTGTTACCCAGTTGGAATGGGTCCAAATTGCCAGCTGAAGTCCAGTTGGAAATTGTAGCTGTTTCCACCTGGGATTTTAAACTGGGGAGACATTCCTTTTACTCATTGACTACCATTTCTGCTAATGTGGCTGATGTCACAGATCATGGCAGTCAATTTGTTAGTGCTATAAGTTGGGGCACCTATTGCTACTCTATTAGTGGCAAAAGTTGACAAAAGAACTTGGCATTATGATGAATAAACAGCACTTTGCTCATCAGAAGATATGGTCTCTTTTCGGAAAGTCCAATGTTTAGTTTCATTAATGGGCCATAATATTACTTTGAGTTTGCAGTTGTATTTTTTTTAGAAGAAAATCAAGCACTAAGGGACCATTCTTGTCCCAGAAGATAGTCACTGTCACTTTCTTGGGGGGTCTCTCTGCTTTGAACTTCTTTGGTCTTGGTAAGTCTGGCTCCATAGTTTTGTGATTTCCTTACTTTCAAGCATGTAGTGGGGTGGTTAGGTAGGTAGCTTGAAAAAGGTTTTATCATGCCTGCAGAGGTTTCTGCATTCTGGCCTGTTTTTTTTCAAAGGCATTATAAATTCAAGATCTTTACTGTATTCCCTGGAAATGTGTAACTTGAACTCATGACAGGCTTATTTTGTATTACTCATACAGTTAGGAAATTATTGAGGGTAATTTCTACTTCATGTCAGAATGCAGTGATGGTTAAAATGCAGAGTAAATGGGAACCTGGATAAGGGAGGGTAAATTTGAGAAGCAGGATTTGCATGAAACAATCAGATTGAAGACTTGAAGTACATTGAATATAAGTTGTTTATTGCCAGCCAGTGCTTGGGATATTGTCCACCTCCTTGCCTCATTGCACTTTTTGGCTTAGAACTTTGAAGTTGCTGTATGGTAGACCTAAGATTAAGCATAGCAGCTAAATTCTAAGACCTAGGCTTTATTGTCTTTTGTCTTCTCAGAGCTACGGAAACAAGCTCGAACTCTGGAGAATGAGCTAGATGTGAAACTGGTTGCTTTTAGTAAGATGGGATTTGGAAATTCCATGGAATCCACACCACTCCTCTCTGATGATAGCTTCAATAGTGCTGTCTCTGAGATTGAGCAGCTGCTGTCAAAGGTAACCAATTATTCATTTCTTTTTACATTTTAGGCTATGAAAAGAAATCAGGTAAGATGCAGGCTGCCAAAGCATATACCTAGGTAATATTTTTTGTTGTACTTCCTGAAGCATTCTCCCAAGTCTAGAGGCTGTTTTTGTTTTAGTTTGGTCCTACTGCTGGAAGCACTGTGAAACCTTCAGCCTAATTGTCAGCTCATTACTATTTTGAAGATGTAGCCAAGTTGAAGAGGACAAATTGATTGCCCCTGAAGAAAATTATCATAGTGAAGAGATTGCTTAGAAAGCTTTGATTATCTGTAAAGGAAACCTCCTGGTTCCTCAGCATCTCACTAGCTTAGGCAGAATAGCATTGACCTATTTTTTGTTGAGGTGGTCTTGTTTCTTTAATGTTAGCCTCACAATTTGCTTGAGAATAGGTGTCTTATGAGGAACATTCAAAAAGTGTTTGTCCTGAGGCCTATCCCTGATGTCTCTGCATCACCATCAGAGACATCATCATATTCATTGATGATGGGGAGCTTCCATGAATTTTTTGCAATGTGCTACCAAAGGGTTGGTTGAAGGGGTATTAAAATTGGGATGAATACTGTGATGAATTTCTTGAACCTTGAAGGAGTTGATCTCCCAACAGATCTCTCAGCAACTGAGAAGATAACATCCTGCTGACCCACCTCTGAAAAATTTGCTAGGAGATAGACTCTTTCAAGGTAACTTGTCTCAATTTGAATACCCCTTTGGCAGACCCTTTGGTTGCACATTGAAGAAAATTAATAGAACTCTCCATCATTGACAAATAAGCTTAAATTTTTCTGGTCACCATCAAAGACATCTGTTTTCCCTTGAGAAAAGTAAGAATGGTGTATTGCAACTGGAAATGCCTTGGCCCCAAATGTTTAGAATGTTCCTAGAAGGTTCATTCCCAGCTGACCTCTGACTTTAGACCCAGTTTCCTGCAGGATTTGCAGAATTGAACTAACATCTGCTTGGGGAAACACACACTCATTCACAATTTCCAAATCTGAAAGACTAAAGATGCAAGGTGCACCATTATTTTCCAGCAATCCACAAATCACATCTTAGTTTATTCCACAAAATTTTTTAAAACTTGCATTGAGTGAATAAAATTTTAGCATATTGAACATGAAGATAAAATCCTGAAATAAGTTCATATAGTTAACAACCATTTGCATGTGGTTCATCAGTCTGGGTGCTTGACCTCTTGTCACTCTCCCTCATATAGGTATTCCCCTCCTCTGTGTTGGCTTTTCTGGAAACCCAAATGCCCTCAAGAGTTCTTGATAGGTTTAGATTGAGACTGTGATTGCAGTGTTGTTTAGGTCCTTATATGGATTCAATAATTACTGGGGATTGATTGAGCCACAGTTGGTTGGTCTTGATCAATTCTGAAAAGGGTTTTAGCTCAGAGTTGGGTGTAATCCCGAAATCAGAAAGTCATTCACTTCTACCTCACTCATCACCTCATCTGCTTTGATGAAAGTATCGAATGAATCCTAATGTATAAAAAGACTGTGCACACCTTTGGTCCTCCATTACCAGGATAGTGATTCATTCATTTATTTATCTTCAAAGTGGCAAAAATCTATTAAAAGTATGCGTCATTGGAACCTGTATCAAGAGAGAACAAACAGATATTTGCATTGGAATAATTATTCACATTGTTTCTTATGTGCCTAACTTCAAAACTCTTCATAATCTGCCCTGATGGGTTATATTTGAAAAGTAGGACATGTACTCAGCAATCTAACAAGTACTTCTGCTCCAAGTTTCAACTTTCTTTAGTTGTATTATTTTAGTCTTCATCGAATCAGAAAATTTTCCAGGAGAAGCACCTTTTTCAAAAAAGTATGCCCCCAGGGCATGTATCCAAAACTTGACATTTTCCCTGAAATTTGTGTCTCAGTAGGCATGTCCATGCCAAGTTTCAGCTTTCCATGTCTCTCCATTTGACTGAAGCAAATATATATCATTGAAAACATCTCCCCCCACCCAAAAATGGGTGCCCCTAGGGTATATACCTCCAAAGTCTGCTTTTTTTAACTCTGCATCCCAAAAGGTACATGTGTAGCAAGTTTAAGATTTCTAACTTCTCTAGAACATGGTTAGAATTAGCATCAGTCAGTCGTGATCATCTATATATATTAGATAGCAAGATTACATTTAAGGAATCTGTTCTAGTCAAGGGAATCCCTCATACTTACTTTTTTTTGCTTTTTTTTTTACTTAATTTTATGAGGGAAGAATACCTCCATCAGCAAAAATGGAAATACTTTTCATAAATATGTTGGTAGCAGAAATATATTACCCTGAAAGTCAAGAATTCTGAAGCTCTCGTCAAATTCTCATAGAGGTCACTTAAGAGACAATATCTTTCCTACATGGACTCTCTTGATCCTTCATATTTTAGTTGGGGGCTGTAAATGATGAGATGGCAGAGGTGTCATTGATGGAGAACCCACAAGACTCAGCAAGACAGCACACAATCCAGAGGCATAGAGATATTCAGCAAGACTTTAGCAAGGAGTTCCAAAGGACTCGCTCGAACATGCAGGCTCGCAGAGAGCGAGAAGACCTTCTGAGGTACCTCTTTCTTTCAATTCTCTGTTGGACTCTTTTCACCCAACTTTCTCTACTTGGGTGGATTTCAAATTTATGCTTGTTGATTTTATCCCTGTGATTGATGTTTCTATTGCTTGACGGTTGAATTGATTAAGTTAAAAAAACATCCAATATTTTAAAGGAAAGTTAATGTTTTTTTAATTTGCTCCAATTTAATTTGACCTAAGGAATTTATAGGGTTGTCACAATGGCTGTTTTGGAAAGCATCACTTATTGACAAGAACTATTGATGCATCATTGCATCAGGGAATTATTTATCTCCCCTGAATGTTATGAATTTGCCAGCAGATTCCATCATCTCTTCTTACAATTAGGAGGGTGCTCCCTTCAACTTTCTCTTTGTGATCAGGGGAGGCTTAAGGGTGGGTATTTATTTTCCAAGTTAAGATGATAAAGTGGAGGAAGTTACCTTGGAATTTTTTGCAGAAAGGTCTTTTTTCCAATGGCTTCAAGGCTCTTTAAAAGGGAAAACAGACATGATTTGCATTTTTAGGGTCTATTCCAGGTCAAACTACAAGCAGACCAGTGGGTTGAATCGCCGCATGGATCTGTATCTTAAGGAGAGTGAGCATATCCGCAGGTGAGTCCTCTACCCACTGTAATATGATATTTACGAATCTTGGTCTGTCATTTTAAAAAAGAAACCCACACACATTACCATTGAAGGAAAACATTAAAGTTTGTGTTGTTTCTCAAGTCACAATGAGCAAGAATTGAAAGTTGTTTCTCACACTAAGAAAGTTTCCAAGACCAAGGAACTAATATTTTCAAGCTGACAGGCAGACAGTCGTAATTTGACAAAATGCAGACCAGAGTGCACAGCAATCTCTGGTATTACATTATGTTAAGTAGATATAACATCCATACCTGGTGCCTCTGAATTAAAATATTTTAGATTCATCAATGATATGCAAATATTCCTTGCCTGTTTTTACACATCTGATTAACCTCTAAAACTTAAAAGTGACTTGCAATTACACACCCATTCTTGATAATAATAAAAAAATGTAACAAACATTACACTCTTTTAGTCCTTGCTTATGAACAAAACTCCAATCACTGAAATCAATCATTTTCAGCAGTCTGTTTTTTAATTATTTTATATTCCACATTATTGATCAATAAGGAGTATCAGCATTTATTAATTGATTTCCAAGTCATCAGTTCCTGCCTCCAAATTTACCAAGAATCAAATTTTGTTTCAGAAAAGACCTCTTTTCGTTCACTAGAAGCAAATGCTATTTTTGTTGAAACCACTCCCCCCTTGGGTCTGAGTTTACCCTTAAATTTCAACTTTCAATGAGATATCATAATCTGATGAAAAGGGCATTTCACTGTCATGTCAAATTGAGTCTTCCCAGCCTAGTTGTCTGGAGAGCCTCTGCATGAAATTTCAATGAATTTGCAAATATTACTTACCATACAAATTTTCATAATTGCTAGTTCCTGAAAGCATGAATGAATGAGGACTTTTTTCGATTTAAATAATTATTCATTTTTATCATATATTACTAGTACATTACCACTCTCCTGATACTGGTATCATGGAAATGTGAATCTGGAGGGACTGAATATGATTACTGGAGTACATGCCAGCAAAGGTTTTCCCATGCTGAGTCTTCTTAAGTCAGCACAGGTGTCTAGAGGATTCCTTTTGTTCACATTTGAATGATATTCTAAGCTGAGCATTTAAATAGCATACCATTTTCAAGTAAACTTTCAGAACCTGTCACACCCAATACAGTCACAAATTAGCTTTTCTTTTTTTCCCATTATGTAATCATAGGAGGACTTACCCTAATTTCAGGTTATTGTTTCATCCATAGAATAAACATAAAATTAAATTGATGGATTCCCAAATATCATAGAAATGTGATCACTAGAACCAGTGTCTCTAACGAGTGAGTGTGCAAGACTTTGACTTATGGAATTTTCATTCACTCCCTCAGGCTAAATGTTGCAGCCTCTATGTCTTGATTCATCACTTGTAATACTGTTCAATACATTTTGTGTATCAAATACAGGGTGTCCTGTAAGTCACTGTACTTTTTCAAACTGCAGTATTTTCCAAACTGCAACAAGCAAGTCACTGTTGCTGAAAAGGTTGGTCATTGTGTTTTTTTTTCACAAGAATCACTTGCAATCAGACTCAAACGAATATTACTTTAAATGCATATTAGAAAGGTATACTTATTTAGGGCAATTTATGGTGGGCCTTGTTGAATCCTCTTCTACAAAATTGCTAAACTTTGTGTTTTTCTCTTCTAATTTCAAATGGACTTCAGAACAGAAAAAAAGTAATTTCATTTAATTTTCTTCCACTGTTATGAGGAAAGGCTACACAATTGATGCTGAAGCAATGAAGAAAAGTTTCCACCTTCCTGGAGGTCTTTGAGAGTTCCATCAAAGTTCAGAGGGAGTTTCAATGATTTTTTGGTGCCGAGACTAATGCCAAATGTATTGATATAGGCGAAGGGCATTTAGAAGCACTTTCAAAACTCAGAAATACATACATTTGTGACAAAGATAATTCTAATGACATGCTTTTGTTCAAATAATGTTACTTCTTTTTTGCATCAACTGTTCAGCAGATGTGATTTTTTGAAATGGTAGAGTGACTTATGGGACACCCTGTATGCAGCAGCTACATTTATAGATGCAAGTCCTCTTCCCAATCAGAAGTGCCCATATGTTCATTCCTCTTTTACACATCTGACTCGCAGTTACATGATGATGACAGTATTCATCAATGCATTTTCCCTTAGAACATGGCCAGATTGCACTTTCTGTCTTTAATGATGATTGCAATACCTATTATTCTTTTTAAGAGCAGACTTTGAATATTCAAGAGAAAAAATTAAAAGGCAATTCATTCCTTTTTGCTCCTTCATCTGATTTCTTTGATTGCAGCTCAGAGCGGATGATTGATGAGCAGATCAACATCGCCATGGAGACACGGGATCACTTGCATGGTCAGCGAGCTGCATTCAAGATGATTCAGACCAAGATGAATGACCTAACAAACCGGTTCCCTATGATCAACAGCCTGGTGCAGCGGACAACACTTCGCAAAAGGCGCGACTCCATCATTCTCGGTTCCGTGATCGGCATCTGCACCGTTCTCCTTCTACTCTATGCCTTTGGATAAACTTTATCATGTCTCCTCTTCTTGTGATCAATGAGTCTCTATCACCATCGGCATACAACTAAATCACCATATCTCCATAATTATTTTAATCTTGGATTCTCTGCCTTATATGTCAATGCCTCATGACATGAAGTTTGATGAGGAGAATCTCAATTGATATGGGAATGTGATGGCTAAGGCTTTGACAGAAGCCTCCTGCATTATTACTTGAAGCACTCTAAAATTTATTGGACCAATGAGATACTGGTGTTTATAATCCCTATCCAATGAATCTTCCAGGATGTGGAAATTGGAGTTTTTTGTTTAAGTTCACCCTGCTCCCATATTACAAGTTTTCTGAGCCCCATGCTCTGAAAACTACCTCTGCACTCTAGGCAATCACCATTCATTTTAATGAATCATTCTATAATATTGGCATATCATTATCCCCTTTTAGTAAGGGTGCTCTTTTTGTCCAGTAACTTGCTGGTGTAGTTCGAACATTGGATGTGTTTGTCATGAACTGGGATGCCTAATGGATCCTCTCAATCTCCATGGTGATGTTGATAATGGCTCAAAAATCATTAGTCCCTATGGAGAGGTTGGTGGCAAGTGATACTCAGCTACCTGAGTTTTCATATCTGCTTTATCCATTTTGAACACTTGAATTGTTATTTCATGTCTAGATTTGGCATCAAAGAAGCAAGCACTGCAGATTCAGTCATGAACAGTTAGCAAATTCAAATTCATATTTTGTGGAAAGTTGTTTTGTTTCCATATTTGTTTCTGCTACATTCTCTTGATAGGGGAAGCCCTGACATTCTCACAACTCCTTGAGCACGGGTGAAATGGTCTGATTTTGTGAATCCAATTGGTAGCAGAGGATTCAATTATTGGCATGAGTTGAGTTTGCAGCTATTTTATCAAATGTGTGCAAAGATTCCAGTTTTCTTTTCTGATCTCGTATGGAATTTATTTCCTAGAGTACCTGCTAGGTTGCTGCAAAATAGTATATGATGAGGGAGGATGCAGGGAAGCTTCCCCTCTGGCTCATGAATGGTTTCCAAACTTTGTTAGATCTATGGAAAGGTTTGAATCTGTGAGTGTTTGTGAAAGTATGTAATAGCGGGGCTTCTGAAAGCAGAAAAACGTTGACAGTCGCCCGATTTGCAGTCAGATATTTTCATTTCTGATTTTTAAATTTTTACATATTTTAGTCTGTAATCTCCATTCCATGTGTGCTGTACTAGTCTGGAATCTATCCCTTAACCCTATCGCTGTGGAGTTCTAAATCACCCAACTGCCTACCAGTTGGTGTTCCCAAGGAGGAGGTTTTGAGGGGGGTCACAACCCCCTCCTTGGGGTCAATTTTGCAGGTTCGATTCTCACAAATTTATTAATTTGGCCACAAATACAGGGTGGGTTATCTGATTTTTCATATGTTAACCCCTGCCCCCACCCATTTAGAGTGGGTAATTAATGTTTCATATGGCAACCCCCCATTTCGATTTCCTGGGCACGCTACTGCTACCAGTGCTGGTTTTTTCTGGGTAATTTACACGTGGAACTTTAAACTTGTTTAATGTATCATACTGGAACATATTTGGTTGCGTTTACAGGGTTCAATGTATTTGTTACACTTTACGTTTCGTCAACCACTCCCGACCCCTACGTGTCAAAATTGTGCCCGTTGGGCCTGTACTCATCAGCTGACCACGTAAACAAAGGCCTAGCTCCCTTACTTTGCTGTGTTTCCTCTTCCACTTCAGAGTTGCAAACATGCTCAGTAATGTCGTCGGTACTTTCCTTGCGAGTTTCGATATTGTAATCATCTCCGGAATCAGTATCCAGCTTGTACAGTTCGATTTCCAATTCACGCTAAACACGCTTGCTATCTGACCTGTTGACGCCATGACTCATGTCAGCTGCCAACTATCCACTTCAAAATATAGTTTTCGATACACGTGACATCTATCGAGAAAGCAGGCTACCACCAGGAACCTGACACACCGGCATCATCTAGATCTGATCTTGATGTACAGTGGGCACATTCAATTGTGACCCGGGTCACGATTCGAGGTTCATGATTCTCAGCAGGTGCGGCGCTTTTCAAAAACTAGTATACCCAGGATTGATTACATTGACAAGAGGTGTCACTGGAGTAAAATTTATTTTGAAACCTCAATGCAAGCGTTGATCTGAGACCCTCGGGTCACAATTGAATGCGCCCACTATACTGTATTGCCAAACGTATCGCGACAAGCCTCCCTCCGTCGATAGCAGTTTTCCCCAGAGGTCACACGGTTGAGGGCATTACTGAGGTCCATATACGTAGCGTGGAGGGGGGGCACGGGAATGCTCGTCGAGGATTAGGCATAGTTCTGCGTGAAAATGAATCCAAACAGGAGAGGCGTGTCGGAAGGCTAGCGAGCATTTATTATGATCTCACAAATGAGGAAATTCACTCTGACTGCTAGAAAGAGCCATCCTCCTCTTCTGTCGTGAACTAAAAATATCGACTAACTCTTGTAGTCTCTCAGAACCTTGAAGTTTGTGTGCTTCCTCACGTTCAATCGCCATTAGAGCCAAGCGTGTCAGCCGCTCTTCGGTCATGGTGCTTCTGAGGTATGTTTTCAACCGTCGAAGAGTTGAAAACGATCTCTCGGCAGTGACTGTTGAGACGGGGCAAAGCAGTTTCCAGACACACGGAATCATATCTTGCAAGGAAGCTTTCCAAAACTAGTTGGTCACAGAAGAATCAGACGATTTGTTGTTTGTTGACATGTAAGACCAGTAAATAAATACCTGTAGGACTTTTGAAGTCTTTCGGCAAATGTCCTATTGCTTGAACTTTGGAATAATCATTTTCCGAGAAACGCTGCTCCAGCTTCGCAGCGATATCAATGGCTAGATAGTAAACAGACAGGATACTCTTTCGCAATGGAAAAGAATTGGTGCCCATCTTTTTCCCCCTCATCTAGACACTCTGGAATCATACGGTGTCTCTCCAAATTTGGCTCTTTCAGAGAATCCATATTCCTCCAATTACGCCAGCAACTTCTCTGACTCACTCCAGAGGCTTTGAAAGTAATCGGTGTTCTAAACTTTCTGTCAATAATAGCTCTAGCCTTGGGTAGAATTTGCAAAATATTGTGACGGTCTTGGCGGCCTGTCTCGTCAGACCACCCTTCCGGAGTACTGAATCCGGCACGCTGGGGTACTGGCGAGATCCGCCCTCCAGTCCGCAGACCGGATGCCGGCACTGGGGATAACTGTAGTCTTACAGGAGGCTCTAGGATCGGGGTGAACCCCAACGAAACCCAGGAGCGCGGATAGGGGACCACAGCCAAACTTTAATGCGAGCCACTGGTTTCAACAACACAACCGAGTTTCTTTACCAGACCAATCAGGGCAATCCGGCCCGTCGCAATGCAAAGGAATGTCACAGCCAAGAAAGCTTGTTACACATCAACCAACTACAGACTGCGATTGCCAGACGCGAACGCAGACAAAGGGGACAGGGACAATACCCGAGCCGGGCAAGTCTACCGCCTAGACGGTGATTCGGCACGAGGGCGTAGAGGGTAAGGAACCTCGTTGCCTCGGTTAGCGAATGCAGTCCGCAGCTCTCCGCGACAAATTTTTTTTTTGTTCAATGACATTTTATTTACACAGCTTGCCCTTAACAGAAAGAGGATATAAGGTGGAGACATTTGGAATATACAATTGGGGGTATAGAGATAATTGATGGTGCGTTGGGGTTGGAGCGAAGTCTTGGACTTGGGTGGGTCCGCGCCCAGTCACCAGGAGGTGTTTTCAGGTCAGTCCGAAACAAGGTCCTGCTCGGGTGGTCATGCCCGCTCGGCTTTACCTCCCTAGGGGGTGTGCACTATTCCCTCGCGCTTAACCTCTAAACAACTTCTTTCAGGATACCGGAGGAAACATTCCTGACTCCCGACTTAAGGGAACCCATCCTTCCCTCCACACATCAGATATTAGACATAATAAGTCACCGGTTTAGGTCGTAGTAAATAACGCGGCGCCAGAGGCGCCATCTCACGTCAATCCAAAGAAATACACATGTTCATGGGTCTGGGTTACAAAAAAACACCGTGCAACTATATACACGATCGGCAAACATTATATAAACATCATTACAATATCAACTGATTCCGATTGCAATTCTCGGGAAAGTTGATGGGCCAGCCAGAGAAACTTTTCAAGGACTTTCAAAGAAAACGAAAGAAAAATCGGCAAGTTTCTGCAGTAGTCCCTCTTCTTCAGCACCCCTCTTGCCGGGTTCATCAGCAATCAATGGTAATGCTTCTACGATTTGTGGAAGGAGCTTGACGACTGCGGAAACAGCGGTATAACGGACAGTCCACCTCGTTCTTGAGAGAACCTTCAGTCATCAGGTGAAGACCGCTTCGCCGCAAAATTTCGACAAATGCGGCATGACTCTGTAGAACCCTCCACAAGACTAAACAATGAATGCACTGTTCCCAATGCATTTCGCAGGGCTCGAATTTCATCACAAAAGCTCGCAACTGCCAGGTCCAGAAGATGGGCATGACAGTGAACGTACATGGCTGGTGGTTCGTCCTGTTGGAATCTGGCTGCAACTTCATCGTATTCGCCCTTCATGTTACTGGCACCATCGTAGGCTTGGAAGCGCAAGCGGTCAACTGGGATTCCAAGATCTTGCAAGAAGGTCTTCTCCAGATACGACTGTTCCCCAGTAGGAGAGACAGTATTCAGGAACCCAAGAAAGCGTTCCTTTATTACAGTTTTTCCCAATTGCTTACGTCCGTTTCTCGAAACTATACTTCCGTTTTCGAAACTATTTGAACAAATCCCAAAATTCTGCAAACTTTTCACAAAACTTAACATCCGATTTCATTGCTAACGTACGAAAAGCGAAACGCGAAGCGCGATTTTCATATCTTTACGTACCTTTTTCGAAACCTAACGTATGGTAAAGAATAAGAAGACCGATTCGACGAGTGCGGACGATGGATGCGTGGCTGACGACGGCAATTTCTATCCTCCAAAATTCCTTCCAACCAAAAACGGAGGTTTTCTCTTCGTCCATAGTTGTCAGAGCTGAATGCTCCTTCTCATATGTTAAAATAGTTTCTTACGTCTATACAGCAATGTAGTTGTCAGGCAATAATGCCGACTGCTATTCAGAAAAATCCGAAATACCTGATCCTGAGTATTTACTTACTATTAATTTCTCTTACAATATAATCAGCTAAAAAGGGCTGAAAAGAGAGAAAAGTGGTCATTTTTGTTTATCATGAGTTACAAAATTGTTATGACCTTGGGACCCGTTTTTGTTCGTAGATATGAGTGTTCATTGGGAAAATCTCATGTGATAATCTCCAAATCTTTCCAACTTATACTCGCTATATTGACTCGTTGAGGGGGTCTTCGATCGAATACAACGCCCTGCACCCTTTTGAATGACGGCACAAGTCAAGTGACTTCTCA